AGAACAAGTTCGATCAGTACCAACTAAAAAGAGTTTTAGTCCTCTCAGACCACCGTCGACTACCCGCAGTCGATGGCGGTCTCGGGAACTAAACCCAGTGGGTGCACTAAAAGTGCCCCCACTGGAGTAATCTCCACTCGGTATGGCCTGACCAGTCCGAGTGATAAACAACAACAAAAAGATAGGCTCTAAGACTCCCGCCGACTGCCCGCAGTCGACTGCAGTATCGGGGACTACACCCAGTGGGTGCACTCAGCGTGCCCCCACTGGAATGGTATCCACTCGGAACGATCCGCCCGGTCCGAGTGACGGCCAAACAACAAAAAGATAGGCTCTAAGACTCCCGCCGACTGCCCGCAATCGACTGCAGTCTCGGGGACTACACCAAGTGGGTGCACTCAGCGTGCCCCCACTGGAATGGTATCCACTCGGAACGGTCCGCCCGATCCGAGTGAGGGCCAAAAAACAAAAAAAGACATGTTCTAGGCATGAAGAAATTCCGAGTAATCAATTACTCGATGCAGGACCAGCTCCAAATCACTCCAAAAAAAATTGCTATAAGGTGAGTTCAACGCTCCTCCACGGACCCGTTTGAGCTCATTTCACTCAGACACCATGTAGTCTAGAATCCGTCAAGGCAACACACGGAGATAAGATCGCCGGGTGACCAGAGGAAGTTCATAAGTGCCTCTGTAGCACTCGACTCATCTGGGAATTCACCTCGACTCGACCCGCTCAACCTCGACCGATTCGGGGGCTAATGACGAGGACATGTATTAGGGGTAGGGTAATAGGCCTGACCTAAAGACCCTACCCATGGACACCGTACACTTTGTACTGGGCCCCTGGGCCAGATCGCCGTTCAGATGTACCGCAACTTGAAAGTCACTCGGACGACAACGACCACTCGAAGCACGACACTCCACTCGACGAGCTCATTCCACTCGGCCGTATAACTCACTCGGATATGCGAAGACCAATAGTCAGCATGACGGTTTTGTAGTGGCCAGGTATTATGGCATTCATGCCCCACTTTGTAACATAGGAGGTGAGGGGGTGGCGCACTCTATATAAGCCACCCCCACCACTAGACTTGGGGCTCTCTTTTCTTCCACCTTTCTCTCTCTTCACCATTAGTCTCGGGACTTAGCTTAGGCATGGGGATCCGTTCCTCTCTCACACACACACATTGTAATATACGGATATATACTCAGATAAAACAAAGTCTCTCCGGAGCACGAGACGTAGGGTTGCTATCTCCATCGTGAGAGGCCCGAACTCGCTAAAACCACCGTGTCACCCATATGCATCTCGATAGATCATGCTCCGTTACCCTATACCTTATTATTGTCGGATTCGTTCCCACGACACCCTTGCTCTATCGTCGTTCTCAGCCTCAGCCTCGCCAGCACAAGCACAACAGTCCTCCCATCCGTGATCCCCGTTGTTGACATCGCCGCTAGCTAGGACGCCCCCGCGATACGTTCGACAACTCTCTGACTGCACCTTGCCCTCTTTGTGTTCGACACATTGTCCGATCAAATTCACATGGTATTAGTACTTTTTTCTACCTTCTCTCTTTTTCTCTTTCTTCGCATTTATTATTTTTGCTTAGAAGTACGTATAGCTAGGCTTTTGCATGAGAGTCCACTCCTCTTACTTTTTTATCTCTCTTTTACACATAAGAAAAAAATGACATGTAAGCGCTACTATTGTACTTGTTTGACTACTCATGGTGGGAATAACATAGGTGGTAACATAACACATACACATATCTAGGCAAAATAGATAATATGACAAGTAATTAATGACGAAAAAGAGACATGTGGTAACATAGAATGTTATTCACTAGCCACAGTGGGAAGTAACTTAGACTAGTGACATGCATATGTTACTAGTCTATTTTACTACGTCTATAGTGGGGAGTAACATATGTGTAGTGTCATGCAACACATCATTTATTAGATTATAGACTCATCTTGCCTGGGTATGTGTGATGTTGTTCATACTACTAGTAACTAGTTATGTTACCACATACCTCTTTTTTTTCATTAATTGCTTGTCACATCATCTATTTTATCTAGATATGTGCGATCTTACCATATATGTTACTCCCACTGTGGGTAGCCTGAGTAACATCACATATACCAAGACAAGATGAGTCTACAAACTAATAAATGAGGCATTGCATGTCACCATTCATACTATGTTACTCTATTACTAGTCTAAGTTACTCCACACTATGGGTACTATAACGGAGGACCGTGAGTATTGTTTGAGTTAATTAATGCAGAATGGCTTAGACTTAACATTGGTACTCGCATTTTCTTGAATTTATTTTAGACTTCTGGCGATGTTCGTTTAGTGAGAAGAGATGTTCTCGTCAACTGCGAGGCATTTGTGATGACTTCGTAAAATCTCAAAAAGCTATGCAAGGTCATTCTCTATGAGGCCTTCCACTATGTAGGCCAAAAGTGGTGCCATATTCACTTTTGACACATTTAGCATCAGTGCCCTTCATTGTCCAGCTAGTGCCTTAAGAAAAATTATAGGAACTGGAGCAAGTAGCTGCTTCGATGCCAAATTCTGTGAGGCAATAAAAAATCCATATCTTGCATGCAGACTAGATGGAATGGGTTTCTTGTGAGAGGAAGAGTAGTACTCCGATCCATTATTTTGCTAGATGTGGGCCAGTCTTTCACCGGTGCCAAATCGTCTATGTTATGAGAGAGGTGCCAAAAGCTTTTTATCCGACATCGATGTATACGTAGCACGCTTGTCAGAATTATGACACCAGATACATAGTGAAGGGCCTGATGTGTCCATAAGGATAGGGTGCGGGTGCGTGCGTGTATTCAAAGGGCTGATTGTATGGGTTTGAGCTGACTTTGGTCGTACTGTATTGAAAAAAAAGAATTGACATTTCCTAAAAGAAACCGCGGCGGCCGCCACTCGCGCCGGATCGACATTCAGCTGCCACGGCCGCCGCCTCCCGCATCTCCCATCCAACGCCGATTTATCTCGCCTTCCGTCACCGTCCCTCCCATCAATCGCCGGCTCACCTCCCCTCCCCTCGTAGTCGTCACAGTCGTCCTCCCGCAGTTCAAGGCCAGGTCGTCGCCCCTGAGTTCGCCGCCTCCTCAACGCACCTGAGCGCGCCAGCTCCTTGCCGCCACTGAGCACGCTGTCACCCTGCCTCCCCTGACTTACCATCGCGCCATTGTTCCCCGACTTCCCGGCTAGTCACCGCTTCTAGTCGCCGCCGTCGAAGTCTCGAAGCCAACCACCTCGCCGCCCTGACCAAGACCACGACGCCGCTGGCTCTGAGCACACAGACCGAGACACTCATCGGTCGAATTTGCATCGTCCCATTCCAGTCCAGCACGAACACTGCATCGACTTTGCACGAGTAAATTGCATAAAACCATCACTTTGAAGGCTAGTTTTGCGAAAAATACTAGAATACAGTTTCTCTGCAGAAAGCACCACGTCTTACGTAATTCTTTTGCAAAAACCACTGATCGGCTGATCGGGCTGCGTTAAGTGAGTTTATGACAGTTGGGGCCCATTTTTCGCCTACGTGGCATAACAGTTTAGGTTTCATGCAAAAAAGCCCCCCAAATTTCTTCCTTGCCAAAAACTTTGTCGCAGGCCCATCCCGACCGCGACCACCGTCGCCCCTCCCAACCCCGGCAACCCCTCCGACCCCGGCCACCACCCATTCCAACCTCGGCGGCGCCCATCCCGACCCCGACCGTCGTCGCCCCTCCCGACCACGGCCACCACTCGTTCCAACCTTGGCAGCCCCCATCCCGACCCCAGAAGAGGCAGAGTCCGCCGTCGCCGTTCCTGCACCGAGGCAGAGGACGCCTCCCGTGGCCCTCCCCTCGCCGCCTGCTGGCCGAGGAGCAGTTCGACCTCGACGCTGGCGAGGTTCATCTGCCGCCCCAAGCCTCCATGGGCGCGGCCCCAGAACAGGATGATGGATCGGGTCGTCGCTCTCCTCGATCCAGAACAGGACGAGGCAGAGGAGGCCACATGCGGTGGCCAATGTAGAGGAGGCAGCAGGGACGGGGCTCTACCAGCGGGATCCGGCCAGGAACGAGCAAGGGCGGCGGAGGACGGCCGGATCTGGTGGCGTCGGGGTCCTGGTGGTCATCGTCGTTGGCTCGCTGAAGCTCCGGTGGTGAGGCACTCGCGGCCGAGCGCGAGGAAGCAGGGAGGCGGGATGGAGGGCCGGCGTCGGGGTTGATGCGCCTGTGGAGGAGATGGCGGTGAGGCATGGTCGTCGTCGCTCGTCGGCGAGCGCGAGAAGGCGCAGGAGGGGGGAGGGCCGGCGTCGGGGTTGATGCACCTGGGGAGGGGATTGCGTTTATGTTTTTTATTTAGGGGTGTCTGTGTAAAATCTAAGGACTCGTTTGTAAATTTGGAATAGCACTGATCTGGCACGAAATGTTATGCCACGTAGGCAAGAAATGGGCATCAACTGTCATAAACTCACTTAACGCGGCCCGATCCGCCGATCAGTGGTTTTTGCAAAAGAATTACGCAAGACGTGGTGCTTTCTGCAGAGAAACTGTATCCTAGTGTTTTTCGCAAAACTAGCCCTCAAAATGGTGGTTTTATGCAATTTACTCATTTTGCACAGTACGATGAAGATGTCAGTACTCATTTGTTGTTTATGGTTTATGTGCCGTACAATCTTGTAGCTCCACACTACCCTCTCCATTGTGCAATCCCTTGCAAAACTAAGTTTACTACATAATGGTCCCTGAGCGACGATAGCATAGACAAGGAGTTTGTTAGTTTGTTTGGGAAATTATGCAGATACATTGTTCAGACTCACATACTGTCCTAGCCTAATTTTGTTTTGCGTTACTGCCGAGTCCCAGATCTCAAACTGGATAGTTAGATGCTGAATAATTTAAAAGCTCGGCTGTATTTCTCATCTGAAGTTCTGAATATCCAATGCACTTTATTGCTCCGCAGAGAGAAAGCAAATGCAGGGCATCTCACCAACTTCGAAGTTCTTGACATCTTACGAAGTAGAGGTGCAAAAACTGAACCCATGGGATGTTTGGGGGGCTGTTGCTGCATCAGAGTGCAAGGTGCTCATTTGTTTCTCTGATGCTTGATCCAATCTGTGTGTTCGATAGCCTGTTGATTCGTGTCCTTTTTTTATAATTAAACTGCTCTCATGTTTATTGCTGTAACAAACAGGTATACGAGTACCTCCTAAAAACTCCTGCTTGCAACCAAACAAGGGAATCCGTTACTGAATTTGCAAACAGATGTGAGGGTTTCAAGCTTACCGATGCTGACAAGCAAAATATTATCAATTGGAGGCCAACCTCAGTTGCTGATGTTTATGCGGTATTGTCATGTTTATTTGCTGATCTTAAGATGCACGTTATTATGATATATTCGTTAGCTGAGACAAACCAAGACATTTAGTCTAGTAATACTTTGGACCATTTGTGAGATCTTGAAATGAAATTGTCATTTGCTACAGAATTTAGAGCCTGCTTGGTTTGGAGCCAATATTTGGCAACTCTAAAAAAATTGGCAGCTGATTGTCTGGACTCCAAATTTTGGCAATTCAACAGAACACTATCAAAGTTGCTCTATTGGCCAACTTTGACTAATTTCTGAAATAGTGAAGCAAATATATTTGAATAGCAATGTGCATGTTTCAAAATTTTGTGCCTTCATATGTGCTTGATTTATTGCCAAGAGATTTAAGTTATCTTAAAGGTTGAATGTTTATTGTTGAGTACTCCCTCCATCCGGCATTTCTCCGACGCGTATTTCCGGATGGAGGGAGTACTAAACTGAACATTATGGGTTTTAGGTTAAGATGTTCATCTAATTTGTTCTGTTATCTGTTGCAGATGGTAGAGGAGTGTGGGAAAAGATTCAGTAAGGATGAGCAAGGAGGGGCACATAATGAAGAGGAACGTGCCAAGGAACTATTGGGTCTTGTAAATGAGGTTTTTCCACGACCACCCATTAAGCAAGAGGATGAACTGGAGGTGGATATGAAGGACATCTGAAAGGGTCTCCGTGCGATGGAGATTTTCGGATCAGCCTGTAGCTTATATCTGCATATATTTTGTAGTGCCGAGGAGCATCTAGTTTGAGACATCCATGTCAGAATCGACAATTTCACCTATGAGCTTCAATGGCAGTCGAGGATCTCTTGGCCCTTGTTGGAAATGAGAATGAACTTGACATTTCCTTTGCTGTAAACTCGATTCCCACATTTATCGTAGCTCCTTGTTGAATGAACAAATTAAGCAGCTTAACAGTATGTTAGGGTCAATTAAGCTACTGATGACGCAGTGGCTTAATTATCACCAGCTCGCTGCCTCACAAACACCAAGTATGAGAAAGATAGGCAACGGAAGCTCCGGTTGAGTATGCAATCCGTGATAAACCCGTCGCCTGAAGCATGTGAGGCAGCTAATCTATACTGTATAGTTTACCTGTGCACATGATGATATTACAGTACAATTTCCTCACACCCTAACCAAATGCAGTATGGAGTGGTATCCCTAAAGCTCAAATTCACTCAAAATAGAAGTAATATCCAGTGTGTAGTTCTGTGCCAAACAAACACTGGCAACTCTTTGGAGCCATGTAATATAGAAGTAACCGGAAAATTTAGGTATTTAAATATTTTTTCCAGATAAAAGCACTTCTTAGCACCACCATTTTTCATAATGAGATGTATAGTCTCACATTGAGCATCTCCGGTTTTGAAAAAGAAAGATCTACAGAGTTACAGTCTGCAATTATAATGCCAAGGTCAAGGAGGCTCAGGAAGCCTTCTTACATTTGTACCTCCTAGCATAGAATACAAAGACAAATATATTCAGTAAACTCAGCCCAGCCATCATCAGGTAGAATCTATCCAAATGCCCTTCATTCAAGTTATCAGGTATCCACCCTGGGCTGCCTCCTCTGGCTGTGAATACCGGCACAAGTGAAAGGATAAACGAACTAAGGTAATTTCCGGCCGAGATGTTAAGAAGCGAGAATGCCATGCCTAAGCTTCTCATGGCGTCTGGAGACTCATCGTAGAAAAATTCAGTTAGCCCAATGTTGGAGAACACCTCGGCGACGCCTAGCAGAAAGTACTGGGGTCCTTGCCACAGGATGCTCATTGGAACAGCCGCCTTGCTGTGCACCAAACCTTCGGACTGTGCAATCTGTAACCGGTTACTCTCCACCAATGCTGCTAACACCATTGAGAGCATGGAGAAACATAAACCGATCCCTATTCGCTGCGGTGACGAAATGCCATTCGCTTTGCCAGTGAATTTTCTAATTACTGGAACAAGGACTCTCTCATAAATTGGAACCAGCATAATGACAGTAAATGTATCTATGGACTGAAAGGATGCAGCGGGTATTTCGAAAGACCAGACGTGTTTCTCCATTGTCATCCCTTGCTCTACAAATGTTGAAAACATTTGTTCCTGAACTGCAGCAAACAATACCATTGCTGACCAAATTGGGAACATTCTGATCAGAATCTTCAACTCCTCTACCTGAGTGACGGTACAAATCTTCCATTTATTAAGTTGGCCAGGAGATTCACAGTCAGGTAGTGTCACAATCGCAGCTTTATCAAAGAACCTGAATGAGGAAGAAAAATATTACTAATTCAATAATTATGGAAATCTACTTGATCAGACTGTTTCAGGTTCTTTATAGAAAAATATTAGTACTATTTCCCTAATTATAGAAATCTTCCTTAATACTTGAAAAAGAAGAGAATTTTTTTCTACGAATTTCAGCACATCCATTTGTACCAACATAGATTTTTCACAAAAGTGTGCAATATTGTTTCCCCTTTTCATTAATTTGAATATAACTTAAAATGTAGCTTACATATCTATTATTAGAAAATAAATAATGAACTTTACTTGAACAAAAATTCAAAATAAAATGAATGCATAATTATAAAGTTAAGAGTTGAAATCTCAGCAGAGTATTACTCAAGTCCACTTGTATGTTCCAATTTCCGGCTGCCTTCGATTGCCGAACCTTGCCCCGAAAACTCATAAAGAGCTGAGGAATCACATGGCAAAACTTTATCGAAGTTCCGAGAAGCTGCAACAACAACCTGCCATATTCTTGCTAGAGGGCTTCCTCCAGGTTTCTGAAATCTATACACAATGGAGCCCAAGAAAAAAACACTTATACCTAAAGTCACAAATAGTGTAGAAACTGTAAAACCCCAGAGCCAGCCTTCATGTTCTTGAACCCAGACAATAACAGTCCCAGCGATCAATGAACCAGCATTGATTGAGAAATAGTGCCAATTAAAGAAAGAGCTCTTTCTGGTCTTCTCCACTTCATCAGTGTCATCAAATTGATCGGCTCCAAAAGACGTGACGCAAGGGCTCTGTGCACCGTACCCTAAACCAACCATGTACAACCCAACCAAGAATATATTGTACCGAGAAGAGATAGGATCTACCCAAAGAGTCCAAGCACGAGGACCGGCTGAGATTATTGGAAGTGCTGCTGATAGAAGCAACAACATCATACCCTGAATAACAGAACGAAAAAAACAAGTTAAACAAAAATGTTAGGAAAACAGAGTTCAGATATTGAATGCACATGTTAAGGTAAACAAACATCGTTTGATCTCTTGTCATTAGGTCTATAGGTTGGTCGCTAGTTTTGTTGGGCTATTTGGTTTTCCTAGCTTATCATTTCTTTTGTCTTGATAAGGGTCAATGTATTCTCAGGTGTTATATAGGTCTGTGCAATTTTTAGGTTGTTCTTCCACCACAAAATGATGCACATTTAGATGCGTGTTCGAGATGTGTTGGATGCGCATATCATATCATAACTAGAGTCTGAATACTTAACACCAGAAACTAGTGGCATTCGCATCGTTCATCCATCAGAACAGTCATGATATCATGTACTCCCTCCGTAAATAAATATAAGAGCATTTAGATCACTACTTTAGTGATATAAACGCTCTTATATTTATTTACGGAGGGAGTAATAAAGATTTTTTTTACTCTTTCAGCGTAGTAGGATCTCCACTGACAGTAATTATTTTTAAAATAGAGTACTCTTTGTGGTTATTCTGAATCATAAATGAGCAAGAGTTATTTGTAGCGCTTACCATAATGAAAATTGTGCAGCTGATCAAAGCTGTCCGGTACTTCCCCAGATACGAATCAGCAACGAAGGCTCCAACCAGAGGTGCGAGATAGCTAGTACCTTGCCAAGTTGCAACATGTCTCGCAGCATCCAAATTTGTTTCATGTAAGACTTTTGTGAGATAACTGACTAGGTTTTTTCCAATTGAAGAATAGGCCAGATAACAGCAGAATGAACAGACTGCAACAACGTAGTTCGCTTTCTGTTAGATCTTACAGTTAATACAGAATGCGGCCATAAAATTCTAGTGTCAAATTAACCAAGAGCTCGGTTCAGTGTCTGAAGAGACCAAATATATTTTATTTTATTTTTTGCGAAAAGAAGAGACCAAATATATTCACAGATAGTATGTTGGGACTCTGGATGTATATCAGTATATGCACGTTAAGAGTGTGAAATATAAGTGTCACCGTTCAAGTATTTATTCTCGACAGAATGTATAGAAGTATCTAACCATCACATTTCTACGGTCTTATAATAGAAAGGCTAATAATGCACAAGCATTGTGCTGTACTGAACTGACCTATGGTTAAGGAGGAGGCCTTCCAGTTCCCTGTATGTTCTCTGGAAGCAGGATGACCACTGGTACAAAGAGATCCATCACCTGTATATTCCGTGGAATTCTGCGTTTCACAGTAAAGCAGAAGTAACCATAATGAACATGAGAAAGTGATATAATGGCGCTGACAGGTAAAACAATATGAACAGAGGGAGGACTGGTAACAGATAAATACTACTCTGACTGACATGGGAACAGTTAGCCTCAAACTGAAAAATATAACAAATCCAAATAAGCTTTAAAATATATAACACGAATTTAACTTGGTAAGTAGAACCAAAGAAGGTCACAAAAGAATCGAGTACGCAATACTTTATTCCTACAGAACATTTTTCATCTTTTATTTGAACCTGCAACAACGTAGCTAGTATTAAATCTCAAAATTAACAAGGACACCGACCGTAAACAGTACTTTCACAGCATTTTATGCAGTCAGAATAAATTGCATGCGTATAATAAGTATGGCTAAGGAGAGTTTTTTCCCACAAAAAAAGGAGAGTATATTTTCTTTGATTTTATCTGTGTTATTAAGTACTCCCTCCGTCCGGAAATACTTGTCCTAGGTCTAGATACAATCATTTCTAGGACAAGTATTTCCGGACGGAGGGAGTACGAACAGGGTTCATGGTTAAAAAAAGAGAAACTATTCACTAGTTTTCTTTGAAATTTAATTGCTCCCTCTGTTCATAAATATAAGATGTTTTGGATATTTAATATGGAGTACATACGGACTGAAATGAGTGAGCAAACACACTAAAACATGTCTATATACATTTGATTCTGAAAAAAGTTGTTACATCTTATATTTGTGAACGGAGGGAGCAAGTCTCAATACTTCATGCTTCGATAACTAAGCATGGAAATTGTCGAGCTGTTTAGAAGGATGCAAGACAGCACCAACATAATGGATGTTTTTATGAATCAACTACAAAGAGCAAAATCTGAATACATATCTGACAACAGAGTTCGCACAAGCAAGCCTCGCAAGGTGATACTCGCGTGCGAGAGAGAAAGGGGGAGAGGGACAGCACAAACCTCCTGCGATGAGCTGCCTCCGTCCAGCAGAGGGCTCTTGTCCAATGGATCCGTGGAGTCCATGACTCTGTTCTTCTTGCAGTTGCAGGGGAAGAAACCCTGAGAAAGCAAGAGGAAGGAGATGGCATGAAAAGGATGGAGCTGCAGGTCGGATGCCTCAATCAACATATATCTGGCCCTACAATGATGCACCGAAATAGAGTAAGCACAAATGACAGCCAGCGGCTCCAACAGCAATGGAACCGTGTGAGGAGGATGCTCATTCCAACC